AGGCACAAATGACTCTATTTCCAATAGTACAGAGAGTGCTAATACTCAGAATATCATCATCAGATAGACCTAATCAAATACTTATAAGATCTGGGTGACCGTATATTTGAGACCTTAGAAGACTTTGTTAAACTAGCAAGTATAAGGTGATTGGCTGATTGTTACCAATTGTGCTGGTTGAAATGGGGAAAGAAAAAGATGAACTCAGGGCTGCAAACTTTCAGCTCATGAGCCATATAAATCTAAAAGTTTTTGCGATTCCTTTGAATGAAATCTTAATCTCCTGTAGCTGCAGGAGATTATTTTTATTTCTGAAAAATAAGCCCCAGAGTCTCATCCTGTGGGTGGCTAAATTAAAACACAAAAGAAATCCCAAACTCAAAGAATATGTTTTTTCAGTGAAGGCATTGATTGGGAAAAAAAGGGATGCTGAAAATTGGAATGGGGACATCTGAGCAGATCCTGATGAAGCTAAAGACACTGAACTCCTAAATTCTGCTGAGAATTATTTGTCACATTTGGTGAAGTTAATCCAGCTTTGCCTTATGAAAATGGTCTTCTCTAAGGTGGTTGCCCTCAAGACCCTGTGTAAGAGTCAACATTTACCCCCAACACCACTCTGTGATCCAGATCAGTAAATAGCCTTAAGTTCTAGCATGTCCTGAAAGGTGAGGTGGAATACATCATTATGACGATTCAGTGAAGCAATCTGACAATGTGTACGAAAAGATTTAGAAATGTTTAAAAGTCTGTGACCTAATATTTATCACTTGTCTATGAATTTTTTTTAAATTCCAAACATAGAAGAATCTTTCTATCTAAAGATGCTTGTCAAAACATTATTTACAAGACAAAATGAAAGCAAGTGGATCCAAAAGAAGCTGGGTTATATCTTCTTATCTGAAATGGGATGTGGTTTGTAAAAGTGTATAAACTTTATGCAGAGTTTATAACATGGAAAACTACTTGTATAATAATACATTAAAAAGCAATATCTAAGATAACTCACAACATATAAATGCAACTAAAATTCAGCATATATAAAAATACATACAAAATAAAAATCAGCACCACTGCATAAGACAGCTCCAGGGATCACCATTTGCACTGCAGTCTACAAAGGTTCAACAATATAATAGCAGTGAGTTTTTAAAGAAAGGCTTACATGATATGTTTCCATCTATCTGTGCATTTTAAAGTCTTCTGTGATCAAATAGGGTTTCACTTTTGTAATATAAAAACATATATTTTAACATTAAAAATAAAACATTTGAAATAAAATAACAATGAAATAAGGCCAGCCATGGTGACATGCACCTGTAGTCCCAGCTACTCAGGAGGCTGAGGCAGGAACATTGCTAGAGCTCAGAAGTTCAAGGATGCAGTGCACTATGATCACAGTTGTGAATAGTCACTGCACTCCAGCCTGGGCAACATAGTAAGACCTTATCTCTGTAATAATAATAATAATAAAAATAATAAAACAGTAGTAGTCCAGATCTTCTTCCTGCATCAGCCTAAAGCTACTTTCTCATTTGAACCCAAAGGACAGAAATGCCTACTGAGGACTTCACCAGAAAAAATAAATGAGTTCTTCCTTCACAATCCATGATCCAATTTTTGGTTATAGAGTTGAGCTGAGCAATAAAGGCAACACTAAGAACACCATCAATATATAGATTACTGATTGTCATATATGTGGCCTTGTGTGTGTGTGTATATACACACATATATTACATATTATATATGTAATATATAATATGTATTATATATGTATATATACATATATAGTACACATACATATATAGTACATATATATGTATATATATAATTGTGTGTGTGTATACATGTACATATATACACATATATGTATATATATTATATATATACACACACACAATTATATATAATTATATACAATGTATATAATTATATATAATTGCCACTACACCTGAAAGAAGGAGATGGATTCTTTTATTTCTCAGATGAAAATCTGAGCACCTGAGAACTTTGAGGCTTGGTCTGGACTCATTGAATGTCAGCCTCGAGAATTAGGAGACACTCAGCCTTCTGCAGAGCCCATCTAGGCAAGAGCCACAACAGTGGAGACACCTCAACAGCAGAAGAGCTGAGACCCAGGAACATTCACACTTGTAGAGGATCCACGTCCAGTGGAATATGACTGAAGGATGGGCAAAGGGTAAAGTCTAACTACTTCCTGGGGTGGCAGATGGTTGGGTCAGTCATGTCTTTCATTCCTCTGATGAGAACTCCATCCTGCAGAGACAAAAATCATACATTCACTGGTAAGCAGGATCCTTTTTAGAAATGCAAACATAAATTCCTTAACATTAAAGCCAAACATTTTCCCTCTGAGTAAGTCAGCTTATTTGGAAACTGCCCCTGAAGTTAGCCCCTGAGTTGCATCTGAGCATTTAGATCCAAAACAGACAGTCATTTTGGGGTTTCAACCTGCCTCATCTTGGACTGTGTTCTGAAAGGAGGCTTTCTACTTGTAGAAGAGCAAGGGTGAGCTCTGAATAGGAGATGAAATCCCAAGGGGAAAAGACAGACAGGCAGATTCCCAAGCAATCTTGGAATATATTTGCCAGCCTCTTTTTTATTGTGATAAAATACAGATAAAGACAAAATTTACCATTGTAACCATTTAAGTGTACAATGCAGTAACATTTAGTAGATTCACAGTGTTATGTATTTTCATCACCCTGGAAGGAAACTCTGTACCTGTTAAGCAGTCACCTTCCACCCCTGCCACCAGCCCCCACCACCATTAACCCAGTTTCTGCCTCTCTCGATTTGCATCTTTTGAATATTTTATGCAAATTGAACCATGCAATAAATGGCCTTCTGTGACCAACTTCCTTCATTTGACATGTTTTCAAGGTTCACCCAAGTTGTAGCATGTATCAGTATATTATTCCTTTTATGGTCAAATAACATTCCATTGCAGAATAGGTTACATGTTTTTTTTATCAGTTGATGAGCATTTTCTTTTACATTAAATAGAGAAAGCATTAGAGGATTACAAACCACCCCCTGCCCCCCACCAATACTCACTTTCCTTTTTACCTCTGAAGTTACTTTTAGCTGTGTACTTTTCTTGTTTCATATGGCTTCAAGTTGCTATCTAATATGCTTTTACTTCAGCATGAACTAAAAATCTTCTAGCATTAATTGTAAAATAGGTTTAGTAGAGACAAATGTCATCAGCTTTTCTTTACCTGCGAATCTCTGAATTTCTCCATTATTTCAGAAGGAGATTTTTGCCAGATATACAACTATCAGTCGACAGGTTTTTTTTCCCTGCACTTTAAGTTTGTCCTGCCAATGTCTTCTGAACTCCAGGGTTTCTGAAGAACACTGGGCTGTTAATCTCATGGAGGATCCTTGTACTCAGTGAGTCCCTTCTCTTGTTTTCAAGGTGCTGTGTTTGTCTTTGGCTTTTGACAGTTTGATTATAATGTCTCTCAGTGTGGACATCTTCGAATTTATGCTGTTCTAAAAGTTTGAGTATGTTGGATACCCAGATTCCTGTTTTTAATAAAATTTCAGAAGTTTAGAGTCTTTATTTCTTCAAATACTCTTTCTTCCCACTTCTTTCTTCTCTCTTCTTGGGACTCCTGAAATGCATATGCTTGATGTTGCCTCTCATATCTCTTCTGTTGATTTTTCTTCATACTTTTTCCCTTCTGCTCCTCAAATGGGACAATTTCAATTGACTTATGTTTGCATTTACTGACTCTGCATTCTGCATACTGAAATCTGCTCTTAAAGCCCTCCAGCAAATCTTCTATTTTGCTTCCTGTACATTTCAGCTCCAGAATTTCATTTGGTTCCTTTTCACAGTTTTTATCTCTGTATTGATTTTCACCATTTAGTGAAATGTAGTTCTCCTGATTTTCTTTAGTTATTTGTCCATGGTTTTCTTCAGCTCTTTGACTATGTTTAAGACAGTTGATTTAAAGTCATTGTCTAGTAAGTCAGTCCAGTGCTTGGCATTCTTTAGGAACAATTTATATCCATTACTTTTCCTGTGAATGGGTCATACTTTCATACATATGTAACTCATGTTTTTTGAAGTTGAAAACTAGACATTTTGATATTATAATGTGGTAACTGAAAATTATATATTCTAAACCATTTTGTACAGACTGTATTCTTTATTGTGTGTGGTCACTGAAGTCTCTGTTCTTTTAGCTCAGTGGTATTCTAGTGTTTTCACAGAGATTTCCTTAAATGTCTTGAGCCAAAAAGAAAAGATTTCCAATCTTTTCACCCAGGCTTTGTGGAAGTTGGGATCATGCCTTCAACAGTCAGTTGGGCAGTTTACAACTCTGCCTTTGCCTTTACTTCTTGTTTGTGTAGTATTGACAGTCAGAGATGTAAACAAGGGACCTTCTTGGGTGCCTTGTGAGCATGTGCCCCTCACTAGTCAATTACAAGGCTATCTACTTTCCCAGTAATATGGGAGCTTTCCAAAATCCTACTTCCCCAGAGCATCTCACTCCCATCTTTCCCTTCCAGTCTTTTCTGCATATCTATTACTTTCCTCAATTGATTTTTGTTTGTTTGTTTGTTTGTTTGTTTGTTTGTTTTGGCCCCAGAGGTAGCTGCTGACTCATTGGCTTTTAAAAGCTTTTTATTTTATTTTTTATCAAATGCTCTCTAGCTTGATGACTCTCTGCCCTGAGACAGATTTAAGTAGGGGGAAAAAATGCAAAATTTCTGTTCATCCTTCGGGGAGTTGCCCAACAGGAGAGAAAAAGAAAAAGAATTCTTTGAGAGCAAGATCTGCTCAGCTCCATCTGGCACCAGGAACCCACACTGGGAACCCAGGCTGCTGTCTTCAAGACCACTGTTGACCTGGAGAAGGAGAAATGGGCCAGGGGTTAGTTGTGATCCCATTAAACTCTGCTACTGAATTCCAGTTATTTTTATTTTCTGCATTCACTTGGTTGCTATACATTTTTGAATATTTTGTGCTTGCTTTGGCAGCACATATACTAAAATTGGAACAATACAGAGAAGATTAGCATGGTCCCTGTGCAATGATGACATGCAAATTCGTGAAGCACTCCATAAAAAAAAACTTTGAAGACTTTTCAGAGTTTCAATACACTTGATTGTCAACCCAATCAGAATATCTGTTGGTGCAGCCCAAGAATCTGTGGTTTAACAACTCTCCTCAAGATTGTGTGTGTGTGTGTGCACGCACATGCATGTGCACTGTTTCACAAGCACATTGTCTCTTATGCCATCCCTCTTGTGTTGGGCTGGGCTCCTGGAGTTTTCTATGCCACCATGTTCTCTCATGTCACTCCCCTCAGCTGGTTTTGAATTGTGCTTATGCATTGCAATTCCTGGCCTGTTAATTATTTCCAGGAAACATTTTTACTTGGTAAACATTCATCAACCTCCTACCTTATCCTGGCTACTGTACTGCATGGACTTGAGTATGAGAAAAAGAAATCAAACTTCCTCAGACCTCATGAATGGCACAGCCTAGGTAGGGATGGGAAGATGGATGAGGAGATAATAGTACAACATATTAAGCACTTTACATTATGTTTTTATTTGAATGCTACATTATTAATATTTTATAATGACAATATTGATTTATGTGTACCTATGATTACCTTTCTTTCTTTCCTTCCTTCTTTTTTTCTCTTTTCCATCCCTCCCTTTCTTCTTTCCTTCCATCCGTATTTTATGACCTAAATATTTTTAGAGTAGGAATTTTGCCAATAAACCAATGGCCCCATTATATAAAAGTGTCCTTGTTTTATTCTTGAAAGATGGATTTGTCAGCCACAGATTTCTCCTTTCACATTGCTTTTCCCTGAGCTCTTCTATGATGCTCTTTCTTCTGATTGCTGTAGGTAATTAGGAGAAATCAGCTACATTCGAACCCAGCTCATGTTCAGATGATCTGTGTTTCTGCTGTGGCTACCTTTAAGTTCACCATTTGTCTTTAGCATCTGACACTCCAGGGCGGTATGAGCAGAAGTTGTTCTCTTTCATTCACAGAGTTATGCACACATTTGCTTAATCTTTAACCATAATCATTTTATGGAATGCCTCCTTCCATTTACTCTCTTTCCATTTTCTAGGAATTTAACCAGTGTTAAACCTTATTCAGCCATCATATTCACTGTGAAACCCAGAATAATAACTTCACAAATATATCCAAACCTTAAGCCTCAAAACTTTTAAAAATGTTACCTTACAGAACAAAAGGGACTTACAGATATGATTATGAGTTTGGACTTTGTGATGGGGAGATTATTTTGGATTATCTTGGCAGGCCCAATCTGATCACAACTTCTTCTTTTATTTTAATTTTTATTATAAATTCCAGGGTATGTGTATAGGATGTACAGATTTGTTAAATAGACAAACGTGTGCCATGATAGTTTGTTGCACCTATCAACCCATCATATAGGTACTAAGCCCAGAATGCATAACTCTTTTTCCTAATACTCTCCCTCCCCCAAGCTACTCCATGACAGGCCCCACTGTGTGTTTCCCCCCTACCTGTTTCATATGTTCTCATTATTCAGCTCACATTTGTGAGAACATGTTTTTTTGTTTTTCTGTATCTGAATTAGTTTGCTGAGGATAATGGCTTCCAGCTCTATCCATGTCCCTGCAAGGGACATGATGTTATTCCTTTTTACGGCTGCATAGTATTCCATGGTGTGTATATGCCACATTTTTCTTTATCCAGTCTATCATTGATGGGCATGTGGGTTGATTCCATGTCATTGTTATTGCGAATAGTGCTGCAATGAACATACGTGAACACGTATCTTTGTAACATAATGATTTATGCTCCTTTCTGTGTATACCCAGTAATGGGATTGCTGGGTCAAATAGCATTTCTGGTTCTCAGTTTCTGAGGAATGGTCACACCATCCTCCACAATGGTTGAACTAGTTTACATCTCCACCAACAGTGTAAAAGCATTCCTATTTCTCTGCAAACTCACCAGCATCTGCTATTTCTTGACTTTTTAATAATCTCCATTATGGCTGGTGTGAGATGCTATCTCACTGTGGTTTTGATTTGCATTTCTCTAATGGTCAGTGATGAGGAGCTTTTTTTTCCATAGGTTTGTTAGCCGTCTTCTTTTAGAAAGTCTTCTTTTGAGAACTATCTGATTATGTCCTTTGCTCACTTTTTAATGGGGTTGTTTGTTTTTTTTCTTGTAAATTTGTTTAAGATCCTTGGAGATTCTGGATATTAGACCTTTGTCAGATGGCTATATTGCAATTTCCCACCCCCACTTTGTAGGTTGTCTGCTCATTCTGGTAATCGTCTGTTTTGCTGTCAGAAGTGCTTTACTTTAATTAGATCCCATTTGCCAATTTTGGCTTTTGTTCCAATTGCTTTTCATGTTTTTGTTGTGAAGTCTTTGACTGTTCCTATGTCCTGAATGGTATTGCCTAGATTTTCTTCTAGGGTTTTTATAGTTTAGGGTTTTACATTTATGTCTTTAATCCATAATAGTTAATATTTGTATAATGTGTAAGAAAGGGGTCCAGTTTCAATTTTCTCCATATGGCTAGTCAGTTCTCCCAGCACCACTTATTAAACAAGAAATATTTTCCTGGTTGCTTGTTTTGGTCAGGTTTGTCGAAGATCACATAGTTGTACATGTGTGGTCTTATTTCTGAGTTATCTATTCTGTTTCATTGGTCTATGTGCCTGTTTTTGTACCAGTATGATGCCATTTTGGTTACTGTAGCCTTGTAGTGTAGTTTGAAGTTGAGTTGCATGATGTCTCCAGTTTTGCTCTTTTTGCTTAGGATTGTCTTGGCTTACAAGCTTTTTTAGGTTCTATATGAATTTTAAAATAATTTCTTCTAATTCTGTGAAAAATGTCAATGGTAGTTTAATAAGAATAGCATTGAATCTGTACATTATTTTGGGCAGTGTGGCCATTTTCATGATATTGATTCTTCCTATCCATGAGCATGGAGTCTTTTTCCATTTGTTTGTGTCATCTCTGATTTCCTTGAGCAGAGGTTTGTAGTTCTCTTTGAAGAGGTCCTTCAATTCCCTTGTTAGCTGCATTCCTAGGCATCTTATTCTGTTTTTTACAACCTTGAATAGAAGTTTATTCATGATTTGATTCTCTGCTTGTCTGTTGTTTGTGTATAGGAATGCTTATGACTTTTTCACACTGATTTTGTATCCTGAGACTTTACTGGAATTATTTCTCAGCTTAAGAAGCTTTTCTGCTGAGACAATTGTGTTTTCTAGATATAGGATTATGTCATTTGCAAACAACAGCAATTTGACTTTTTCTCTTCCTATTTGAATATCCTTTCTTTCTCTTACCTGATTGCACTGGCCAGAACTTCTAATACTATGTTGAATAGGAGTGATGAGAGAGGGCATCTTTGTCTCATGCTAGTGTTAAAGGGGAATGCTCCCAGCTTTTGCCCATTCAGTATGATATTGGTTGTGGGTTTGCTATAGATAGCTTTTATTATTTTGAGGTATGTTTCTTCAATACATAATTTTTTGAGAGTTTAAAAATATGGAATGCTTCAAAAATTTGTGTGTCAGCCTTGTGCAGGGAACATGCTGATCTTCTCTGTATTGTTCCAATTTTAATCTATGTGCTGCCAAAGTGAGCACTGATCACAAGTTATTAAAAGTGGAGATAACTGAAGAAATGTGGGTGAGAGGGAGTGTGGATTTCATCTGCAGTAGTTTCTGCATCTAGTGAAATGTGATCTTCTCTGTCTTTTATTCTTTCATTAAGTGGTAAAATGCATCACAGAGTTAAAGTTTAAATATTCTTCTATTCTTGGGATACATAACCTGGGCAGGATATTTAATTTGTTTACAGCTCATTGGTGGACACAGTCTACTACTATTTTTTCTCAGTATTTTTACATCTAGTTGCTTAGAAGTGATTATCTTATCATGGTTTTCTCTTATGTATTCCCTAGCTGGCTTTAGAATCAATGTGATTTATGCATAAACAATAATGAGTTCACTGGCTCTCTCCATGTTTCCTCATTCTCTTAAATATTATGTATAAGTTCAGTAACCTTCTTCTAAGTTTTGGCAGAACTTATCTGTAAAACATTCTGGATATGCCTGAGGGGAAATAAAGTTCTACAACCATTTTAACTTCTTTACTTGTAGTAAGTTCTTTCTGTTGACATAATCTTGTTCATTGTTTCACAATTACTTAAACCTCTATTGTATCTTTAGTGGCATATTTATCTGTCACAATGCTATTTTATGCTTAACTACCATTGCCTGTTTTATTTTTTCATCCAAATAAACAGCTGCTTTTGGCACACTGGGCCCTCAACAGTGGCAGCTTCCAGGTCATCCTTGGTGAGTGTTGACTCAATTGCTGTGCCCATGCAGTGTCCATCTCAGCCATCATAGTTGTTTTGTGCAGGGGCTCCATGAGCAAGTCCTCTGTGGCTGAGTGGCCTCATCCATCAAGCCATTTCGCACAACTTATTACAGGGAACTCCATCCCCTAAACACCCTCTGGTAGGCATCCACATACAACCACTATCTTCACACATTCTGCCTATAGGAGGAGGTCTATATGTACCTCTCTCCTCCACCTCCCAATCTTCCAACTCTATTTTCTTTTCTTTTTTATTTTTTTATTGCATTTTGAGTTTTGGGGTACATGTGCAGAACATGCAAGATAGTTGCATAGGTACACACATGGCAGTGTGTTTTGCTGCCTTCCTTCCCTTCACCCACATTTGGCATTTCTCCCCAGGCTAGCCCTCCCCAGCTCCCCACCGCCTCTGTCCCTCCCCTATTCCCCCCAATAGACCCCAGTGTGTAGTACTCCATTCCCTGTGCCCATGTGTTCTCATTTTTCATCACCTGCCTATGAGTGAGAACATGTGGTATTTCATTTTCTGTTCTTGTGTCAGTTTGCTGAGAATGATGTTCTCCAGATTCATCCGTGTCCCTACAAAGGACACGAACTCATCGTTTTTGATTGCTGCATAATATTCCATGGTGTATATGTGCCCCATTTTCCCTGTCCAGTCTATCATCAATGGGCATTTGGGTTGGTTCCAGGTCTTTGCTATTGTAAACAGTGCTGCAATGAACATTCATGTGCATGTATCCTTATAGTATAATGATTTATAGTCCTTTGGATATATACCCAGTAATGGGATTGCTGGGTCAAATGGAATTTCTATTTCTAAGGCCTTGAGGAATCGCCACACTGTCTTCCACAATGGTTGAACTAATTTACACTCCCACCAACAGTGTAAAAGTATTCCTATTTCTTCACATCCTCTCCAGCATCTGTTGTCTCCAGATTTTTTAATGATAGCCATTCTAACTGGCGTGAGATGGTATCTCAATATGGTTTTGATTTACATCTCTCTAATGACCAGTGATGATGAGCATTTTTTCATATTTGGCCTCATGTATGTCTTCTTTTGTAAAGTGTCTGTTCATATCCTTTGCCCATTATTGAATGGGCTTGTTTGTTTTTTTCCTGTAAATCTGTTTGAGTTCTTTGTAAATTCTGGGTATCAGCCCTTTGTCAGATGGGTAAACTACAAAATTTTTTTCCCATTCTGTTGGTTGCCGATTCACTCTAATGACTGTTTCTTTTGCTGTGCAGAAGCTGTGAAGTTTGATTAGGTCCCATTTGTCTATTTTGGCTTTTGTTGCCAATGCTTTTGGTGTTTTGGTCATGAAGTCCTTGCCTACTCCTATGTCCTGAATGGTTTTGCCTAGGTTTTCTTCTAGGGTTTTTATGGTGCCAGGTCTTATGTTTAAGTCTTTAATCCATCTGGAGTTAATTTTAGTGTAAGGTGTCAGGAAGGGGTCCAGTTTCTGCTTTCTGCACATGGCTAGCCAGTTTCCCCAACACTATTTATTAAACAGGGAATCCTTTCCCCATTGCTTGTTTTTGTCAGGTTTATCAAAGATTGTATGGTTGTAGATATGTTGTGTTGGCTCCAATGCCTCTGTTCTGTTCCATTGGTCTATATCTCTGTTTTGGTACCAGTACCATGCTGTTTTGATTACTGTAGCCTTGTAGTATAGTTTGAAGTCTGGTAGTGTGATGGCTCCCGCTGTGTTCTTTTTGCTTAGAATTGACTTGGCTATGCGGTCTCTCTTTTGGTTCCATACGAAATTCATGGTGGTTTCTCCAGTTCTGTGAAGAAAGTCAATGGTAGCTTGATGGGGATAGCGTTGATTCTATAAATTACTTTGGGCAGTATGGCTATTTTCACGATATTGATTCTTCCTAACCATGAACATGGAATGTTTCTCCATCTGTTTGTGTCCTCTCTTATTTCGTTGAGCAGTGGTTTGTAGTTTTCCTTGAAGAGGTCCCTTATGTTCCTTGTAAGTTGTATTCCTAGGTATTTTATTTTTTTGTAGCAATTGTGAATGGCAGTTCGTTCTTGATTTAGCTCTCTTTAAGTCTGTTATTGGTGTATAGGAATGCTTGTGATTTTTGCACATTGATTTTATATCCTGAGACTGCTGAAGTTGCTTATCAGTTTCAGGAGTTTTTGGGCTGAGGCGATGGGGTCTTCTAGGTATACTATCATGTCGTCTGCAAATAGAGACAATTTGGCTTCCACCTTTCCTATTTGAATACCCTTTATTTCCTTTTCTTGCCTGATTGCTCTGGCTAGAACTTCCAGTACTATATTGAGTAGGAGTGGGGAGAGAGGGCATCCTTGTCTAGTGCCGGATTTCAAAGGGAATGCTTCCAGTTTTTGCCCATTAAGTATGATATTGCCTGTTGGTTTGTCATAAATAGCTTTTATTACTTTGAGATACGTTCCATCAATACCAAGTTTATTGAGGGTTTTTAGCATAAAGGGCTGTTGAATTTTGTCAAATGCCTTCTCTGCGTCAATTGAGATAATCATGTGGTTTTTGTTTTTGGTTCTGTTTATGTGGTGAATGATGTTTATAGACTTGCATATGTTGAACCAGCCTTGCATCCCTGGGATGAATCCTACTTGATCATGATGGACAAGTTTTTTGATGTGCTGTTGCAATCGGTTTGCCAGTATTTTATTGAAGATTTTTGCCTCTATGTTCATCATGGATATTGGCCTGAAGTTTTCTTTTCTTGTTGGGTCTCTGCTGAGTTTTGATATCAGGATGATGTTGGTCTCATAAAATGATTTGGGAAGGATTCCCTCTTTTTGGATTATTTGAAATAGTTTCAGAAGGAATGGTACCAGCTCCTCTTTGTATGTCTGGTAGAATTCGGCTGTGAACCCATGTGGACCTGGGCTTTTTTTGTGTGGTAGGCTCTTAATTGCTGCCTTGACTTCAGACCTTGTTATTGGTCTGTTTATAGTTTCGGCTTCCTCCTGGTTTAGGCTTGTGAGGACACAGGTGCCCAGGAATTTATCCATTTCTTCCAGGTTTACTAGTTTATATGCATAGAGTTGGTTGTAATATTCTCTGATGATGGTTTGAATTTCTGTGGAATCTGTGGTGATTTCCCCTTTATCATTTTTTACTGCATCTATTTGGTTGTTCTCTCTTTTCTTTTTTATTAATCTGGCTAGTGGTCTGTCTATTTTGTTGATCTTTTCAAAAAACAAGCTCTTGGATTTATTGATTTTTTGAAGGGTTTTCGTGTCTCTATCTCCTTCAGTTCTGCTCTGATCTTAGTTATTTCTTGTCTTCTGCTAGGTTTTGAGTTTTTTTGATCTTGCTCCTCTAGCTCTTTCAATTTTGATGATAGGTTGTCAATTTTGGATCTCTCCACTCTTCTCATGTGGGCACTTATTGCTATATATTTTCCTCTGGAGACTGCTTTAAATGTATCCCAGAGATTCTGGTATGTTGTGTCTTCATTCTCATTGGTTTTGAAGCACTTCTTTATTTCTGCCTTCATTTCATTGTTTATCCAATCAACATTCAAGAGCCAGTTGTTCAGTTTCCGTGAAGCTGTGCAGTTCTGAGTTACTTTCTGAATTCTGAGTTCTAACTTGATTGCACTATGGTCTGAGAGACTGTTTGTTAATTTCAGTTGTTTTGCATTTGCTGAGGAGTGCTTTACTTCCAATTATGTGGTCAATTTTAGAGTAGGTGTGATGTGGTGCTGAGAAGAATGTATATTCTGTGGATTTGGGGTGGAGAGTTCTGTAAATGTCTATCAGGTTTGCTTGTTCCGGGTCTGAGTTCAAGCCCTAGATATCCTTGTTAATTTTCTGTCTGGTTGATCTGTCTAATATTGACAGTGGAGTGTTAAAGTCTCCCACTATTATTGTGTGGGAGTCTAAGTTTCTTTGTAAGTCGTTAAGAACTTGCCTTATATATCTGGGTGGTCCTGTATTGGGTCCATATATATTTAGGATCATTAGCTCTTCTTGTTGTATCGATCCATTTACCATTATGTAATGACCTTCATTGTCTCTTTTGATCTTTGTTGCTTTAAAGTCTATTTTATCAGAGATGAGAATTGCAGCTCCTGCTTCTTTTTTGCTATCCATTTGCTTGGTAAATCTTCCTCCATCCCTTTATTTTGAGCCTTTGTGTATCCTTGCATGTGAGATGGGTTTCCTGGATACAGCACACTGATGGGTTTTGGTTTTTTATCCAATTTGCCAGTCTGTGTCTCTTGATTGGTACATTTAGCCTGTTTACAT